CTCTCTCTCTCTCTCTCTATAACGAAGGGTCGCTTCAAATCTTCTTATTACTATTATTAGAAAAAGTCCATACCTTTGCCAGCATCCGTCGTTGTCGAACCGTCGTCAGTCAGTGATGATTTCGCATTCGTCAAGTCGTTGGGCAACTTTCCCCATAACTGCTCTTCAAACAACTTATCTTTACGATGCATGTAGACACCGCTATCGCCGTCATCGTCGCGTAACTCGCAGTCGTAGCGGGCCGTAACATATTGTTCGTACAAAGACTGTGAGACTGGGAGACCGTCATACCGAAACACGGGAAAGCAAGGATCGGTGATGGTGCGTGAATGCCGCTTGTCACTTTCGTTGGTGTGCGATTTACGGTGAAATGAGTCTGACTTGAAGTCTGGAGAAACCTGGTCGAATTTCGATAACCTGTAACCAGACCGGTAATTTGTTACACTATTATTTTATTGTTAGAAATTAATAAAATAATAGTTATTTTTTCAATATTTAAAAATCAGGAACTTTAATATTGTTAATTACGTTTTGCTCAGTTCCGGCAGGCAAATCCTAGAAGAGCTGCCTGAGCACGGGTCAACTGACGTCAGATCTGGTAAACTGGCGCTCCTTCTGTCGAGATCCTTTCTCTTCATCAACCTTTCCTTCGATGTGGCGTTCCTCAGTTTGTTCAGACGTTTGCATCTGACACAATAATACAAAAGTAACTTGAATAATTCAGAAATAAATTACAACGCGCATAAAATAATACGTATTCAAATATCAGCAGCAGAAAGACACATAGTAAAAGGTATATAAGCGTTTTTCTAGAACGCCGCGATCACCTGAGCGCTTCCTTGACGACGTCCGGGATGTCATCATCGTCATGGTTGTTCGATGAACTCGTCGACGTCTTACATTCGTTTCCATTACCGCGATCGCTCTCATTCTTTTCTTCGCCGTTCTCTACTTCTTCTGGTGCGCTGCAGATGAGCATGGCCATGTCGTGCAGCACACGGTTGACGTCTTTCAATGGCGTCGCGCATACACTAGGTGTAAGCGAGCTAGCGGTAGCGGGGATTGTGGCCTTGATGGCGCGTTCTTGTTGCTTGGTCTCCTGTTGCTTACGTCTGATCGGCGGCGACGAATCCTGAATTGTCGCGGGCACTAAAGGTACATATTGTAACGTCGCCGTATCGTCGTTGAAATTCGTCGGTTCGCCCTCTTCGCCCTCTTCAAGTACCGTGAAAATCCGCGACGTGTCTCGCTTCATGCCGGAAGATGCGCCGCTAACGGGAGGCTCCTTGGTGCTGCTTCCCTTTTGTGGCACCGTGTTCTGAAAGTTTATTAGGAATTAATTTCATAATTACATATTGCATGATTGAATTTTTACATCATAATGCCGTCGTTACACTTTCAAATAGCATATGATAAAATTTTGTCTATGTATCTTGCAATTATGACATGCTTACCTTTCTCTGTGGAATTTTCTTCATTGCTGTGTCGAGATATGAGTGATAATAACGTTCGTTGTTCGCATCTTGCATCAGTTTCTCAAATTGTTTCCGTTCTATGTACACTTGCAGCAACTGAACACCGACTGGCAAATGGAACTGTGTGGATACCTTCTCCGCGGGAGCCTTAAAATAAAAACAAATATGTTATAAATTTATTTTGCATTTATATTTTATTACTTGTATATTCTTTTGTCAATTGATATTAGTGACAATAATATCGTACTTGAGCTTTTATCATTTAAGATTAATTTTTCTTATAAGGAATAAAAAGATACCTTTATCCTGTAAGGGTCGGTAATGACAATCTGCTTTGTTAAGTCTGCGCCCAACTGTGTAGCAACTATCCTGAAAAGATAAAGTAATAGAGATAAGATAAAAGAGTAAAACAATAGAATTAATAAAAAGAAGAATAAAATTAATAAAAAGTTGATATCTCAAATATATTTATAAGCGATATATAAATATCGCAATATAATTCTGTTTAGAAATATTATATTTTTTTTCATTACTTATTATTGTAGAACAATGCTCCACCCAAAACGCCGTTTGTCTGTTGAAAGTGTTGTAACATTTGGATTGCTTCTAAAAATATGTTACTGGCACTCTAAAAAAAACACATATTTTCATTGTAGGAGAGAGAATTTTGCATAAATATCTTTTGCTATTTTGTATTGAATATTATAAGAATTTAATAATTATATTAAATCATTAATATAACTATGGCTAAATTCTCTCGACGCAATCGTATTTTTATACTAATTTGAATTTTATTCGTGCTCACCTTTGGAAGTTTGATAACGGGAATGTTCGAAAATAAATTGGCACTATATTGCAAAATTGGCAGGTAAGTCTCGAACATCTGATACAGTTTTTCGGTGAATCTATTGCGGTCATTGTTGAAGGAATCCAGTATCTTGACGAGATCACAGTGAAAAAACTTTAACAACGACTCCAGTATGTCCGCGCGTCTTTCAAGTATCCAGTCTTGTATGTTTCTGTCTGTTCCTACGGCCTGCGGAATTAATCAACGCGGAGAATAATTTACGATCATTAATCTCGCTCATTGGGCACGCGACAAACGCATTAGTGTGCCCCGCTAGAGTATTATAGTGAATGAATTGTGTCAGCAGATAACTCCTAATAACTCAACCTCCGATACAAAGTAAGCGAGGGGAGCAAAAGTGCGTAATACGCATAAATAAGGAGGACAATCGTCATACATAGAATGTTTATTCTATGTTTCATTGAACTATCTTGAGGGCAAGCAACGAAGAAGTCGGTTGCAACAACAGAGCGGAGTTCAAAGCTGTTATTAATAGACGCATCTAAAACTTGAACTCATTTTACCAAGGAGAAGAAACGTTGACGATTATTTGGTGACAATACTACATAATTACTACAATCAATTAATTGCTGTGAATCACAGATGTTATTACATTACCTACATCTACTTATGCTCATGTTGTTTTATTCTCTTGTATTCTCGATGAAATATCGTTTGTTCTCACAATTTTAAGTTTATTTCCTCCAAATAATATTCTTTAAGTTGCTTTGAATTTCGCTCTTCACTACAGTATGATAAGCATGATTTAAAATGCACTCACCAGTACATATTGGCCAAGCTTCACCAACACAAACTTCCCACCTTGCAATGTGATGGATCGTGGAGCAGAAAACGACGTTGACAAGAAGTGATACACACCCATCAGCTGTCCTGCTAGGGCTAGTCTCTGCGTCAGGGACACCCAGGCCGGATGAAAATACATGACTGCCTCGGCAGGGTCATCCTCCTCTTTACAACACTTAGCAGTGTCGTAAACGAACACTATCATCATCTCCCTGAAAATGAAGATGTTGCTTTAGAACAAACGTTTCACAGTAGACTAAAATTATCCAAGATACAATAAAGATGATAAAACGCAATGTATACGAGATGTGTACGTAGAAGATAAAGCATAGATAAATATAGATTCTAGAATTACGAATATTGTAAGTACAGTTAATCTCAGCCCTAACAAAGTAGCAAACTCTTGCTGTAATAAGTACATTATTATGTAACTTCAGGAAAGGGATCTTTTTAGTTGCGAAACTCACATGGCTTACCCAAGTCTATTCTATCTAGATATTGTGACGGCAACTGTAAGCCCGTTCGCCTTTCTCTCATTGTAAAAAGTAGTGCGGGAACAACGCAGACAATGCGTTTTGCTGGACGTTTCAGTTTTGGCGCATGACTGAGGCGAGCAGGCGAATCATTCATGAGCAAATGATCGGGGGGATTAAGCGGTACCAGTAACCGATAAGGCATTGGGGAAGATAAGATTAAAGTTGCAGACGACGTACAGCGCGAGACTCAAGCATTGGTTCAACATTGTTGGAGCGAGCAGTCTTGAGTAGCTCATTTGTTCGCGAAATAGTGATTCTTAAAAGGAAGACCAACAGGCTCATGTAAGCAGGTCTAATGCAAGGATTTTATAAAACTTCAGATGCTTTGTGAAGTGTAATATTTTAGATTTCCGTGATATGAAACGCTTGGTGTGACTTCCGAGTTTGATGCATTCATGGATTTATTTTTGACTTTTTATGAACATTCCAGATCACTTTTGCAGATTTCTTCAGTAGAGGTACGATATGAGACTGAGATCTCAGGTCACTCTGGTCATTCTTTTACTGAAGTTTTTTTCTACAGAAGTGAACTGGAATGTTCAAGAAACGTCGGAAACAAATATATCAAGGTTATGGCATCAACCTGGAAACTAGAACAAGTCTTTGTAGAATTATTGGTACTTTGAACATTGTACTTCCTGTGGATCCACTAATAATCTTACAAATGTAAAGTGTCACTTCATTGCTATAACAGATGACTGAATTAGTATAACAGAAAATACTCTTGAGAACAAACGTTGAAGTTTACAGAGCAAATATTTAAATACCCACATGAGTCTTCTTTTGATACCTTCACTATCTATGAAAACTATACTTGTACAGTAGATTGTAAAACAATTTAGGCACAATGAAGTTGAAAGCTCTTACCAAATTGAGAATTATTACTGATGGATTCTTATACAATAATAATTAATAGTATAAGAATACCCAATAATAAGTCAAAATAACATTTAATAAAACACAATAGTAATAAGTAAATAATAAATAATAATAATAAATACATAAACTAATTATAAATGACAATAATACTAGTAATAATTAATAATTAATATAATTATTAGGCAAAAGCCAGTCTCTCAGTTATTATTTCAATTTTGACAGCTCCCAATTTCATTGTGTCTAAACTATTTTGTGATCCATACATACAGAAAGTTTATGTATTGCCATAGAATACCGTAGTACAGAATACCGTAACCACGGTGAAGTTATGCGTGTAGATTAAAGGGGAGACAGATGGGAAAATAGTAAACAGAGCATTATCATGTACACGTGAACTGTCCCCCTTTCCCCGTTCTTTTCATTTCGCTTTCACTCATCATCTCGTATACAATGTATACTCTAATTAGATAAGGCGGTGATTGCGCGATCGTACTTCGCCATGATGATTGTTTATGTTGTGCACGATCCGCGCCAACCAGTTGCTGTCAAGGCTTGTCTCGTTTGGACGTATTTTCGTTCGCGAATTCGAGTTGCGCGAATGTGAGTGCGTTCCAATGATTTTAACGCGTCGAAGGCCTTGTTTCTCGGCTCTTCGTCGTCGGATCGGAACGCCGCGTCTTTTCGTCGTCTCGTCTCCCTGCGGTAGGAACGCGCCACGCTCGCGACGTCGTCGACCAGTGACAGAACGCGGCATGAGCCATTTTTTTTCCCAATGCCGATGACAACAAAGTTGATTTTAATCGCGACAAACAGTTCTCCTTCTCTTTCTCTCCCGTTGCGGTCTCTGTATTCTTTCTCTTCGTCTCTTTTACCTCATCCACCCGGACTACCCCCCGAGACCCGCAACTGTCGCGGAACTATGGCGTCTTTTGAAACTCGACACCCGGTAACGCCATATTGATTTTTAGTTCCGGATGAAGGGGTCAGATTCCAGAGGGCGCTATAAACTCTGGTCGATTAGAAATCCTTGATCTGTTCTTTTCAGCTGCACTGCTGAACTGATGCAATAGATTAGAGTGAGAAAACATATTGGCCGCGTTCAGTAGAACAAGTGATCAGTAAGCGCTCAGGGAGCTCTTGTATATGATTTGGCATATTCTTTTAGATCTCCAACTATACTCCAATCAGATGCAAGAGCTCACTGAGCGCTTACTGATCACTTGTTCTACTGAACGCGGCCATTGTCTCAGTTTTAAGCCTAATCTACAAGGTGCTCTTTGCTTTCTGTTTCTTGTTCTCTGTCTTTTTTTAGTTTAAGGCTTAAGGTGTGAGTCACGCTACCTCTTGAATATTACAGGATGAGAGAGAGCATGTTTGTAGGTCTCGAACAGCGCTCTGTCTTTGGATACTTTCTAGTTGCGTACACGGTGTTACACAAAACCAGTTTATTTGTTGCATATTATCTTACAAGATATTTTAGATAATATGTGACCAATAATCTAGTTTTGTGTACATATGTATCAAAATGTGTTAAGAAATTGGAAAGCACCCTTTGTCTAGTACAGTCTGAACCAAAAGCTAAGTTAGCTGATTTTTAAACGTAAGATGAATTTTCGAATTAGGAAGCATCTTTGCTTTGTTTTTCTTAATAATAAGTCGATAAGTAAATACTAATAATTGAGAAAAAATATATATATTTTTTTTTATATCTTAAACTTTCCTTTATAAGCTTAATGGCTCCTGCACACAGGACGCGGTAATGCTTGCCGCGCGGCGGAAGTTCGCGCGACAGCCAATCAATATGCTGCTTTCCATAATAACCTTCTAGCTCTTACGGAAAATCAACATATTGATTGGCTGTCGCGCGGACTTCCGCCGCACGGCAAGCATTACCGCGTCCTGTGTGCAGGAGCCATAAGTCATTGTCATTCAATGGTCATTGCTTTTCATATTATCTGTAACTTTTAACTTGAATTGTATCACATTCTCCCCACTCTCGATTATACTATGAACCTGACGAGTGAGTCCCAGATACGCACATTAATAAACGGACACATCCAATCATATGTCGTTATTTATGACAGTCTCTAGAATATCTCTAGGCATATGGCGTTGTGGTTGGTTGTGCCGTTTGTCAATGTGCGCATCTGGGACGCTCCCGAATCAGAAAAGGATAAGAGAGGAAACAAGGAACTTCTTTCTCATTTCGCACGTCTCAAGAGGCAGCGCGCGTTCCAGATATATATTTCAGTGAGTTTAGTTATCTTTGGGTGCTTTCCAATTGCTTAACACATCTTGACACATATGTACACAGAAGTGCACAAAGTGTAACGTTGTGCACGATTTAATTGGAACAAAGTGTGTACTAATGTGTATGTATGTCGGGTAAAGTTAGGATTATTTTTCAACTATGCTTATATTTTGGTATTTTTTAATAATAAGTAATAAAATATACATAATAAAAAAGATATTATCCACTTCACATCGCAAATGCCAGTCTCTTTTCAAGCCGCTACGCTAATTAACTTTCATTTTCACTAGAAAATACTAGTTTACACAGTCGACTAGTAGCTCTTGAGCTGAGTACGGATGTGTAATGTTGTGTCGACGATTACGACAATTGGAATGCAACTTGTGTCGCCGTGTGCATGAAAGTGTCTAGGAATATTGCAATTGGAAAACACCCTTTATCGTTCATTACATGCGGAAAGAAGATAAATAATGCAGGATTCACATCGCGTCCGATGTCCGATGTACGACGTCCGATATCCAATAAAAGATTAGCTTTTCAATGAAGAATTTAATTCTATATTAAAAAGCTATTCTCCTATTGGATATCAGACGTCGTACGTCGGACATCAGACGCGATGTGAATCCTGCATAACGCTCATAGCACGCGTAAGTACCCAAAACGAACGCAGCCAGAGTAGTATTTAATTGACCAATCAGAGTAAAGAGAACCAAGATTTCTTTGTCATGATTGGTTAATTAAATGTTACTCCACCCGCCGAGTAGGATTTTGGAACGCAGCCGTAAAATATTTTTTGGAAATATTTAGGTTAGGTTCGGCTATTAGAGAAGAACCTCTGCCAGGAAAAATTTTTCTAGAAAAGAAAATTTTTTACGCCGATTGTGTTACGTCGTGTATTAATGGATCATGTAGTTGCATTCAGTTATTCCTTTATATTAATAATCTTCTATTTAATGTATATAAAAGTAAACAAAACATACATAGAAGCGTTTGTCGATTGAAAGCTAAAATAATTTCACCAACGAATTCAATATTGTATGAATATATTCGCGTGTGCTGTTATTATTTTGTCGCACATCTACTTGATATATGTTAACTTTTATACAACGTTATAAACTTTTATACAACGCCCTACGTTTAATCTTTTTATTTATATTTTATTTCGACACATAAAAGAATATACTTGTATTCTCTTCATCCTTTACAAAACTAAAATAAGTTTTTTCGAGTTTTTTATAAAAAAAAAAGTAAAAAATCAAGAAAAATTCACATCGGCGTCCTATCTTATTTATTATTCATATAGCTAAAATATAAACAACAATTTTCGTTTCTTTTATCGAAACAAACTCTGTTGTTTTCTTTTTGCTTTTATTTCTGTTTTGCTTGCAAATCAAAGAATTCTACAACTGCTTCTTTCTTGATAAATCACGTATTTCACCTTTTCACCTGCCTGTGATTATATATACAAAGCAGACCCTTTTCTCTCTTTCCTTTCTCTCTTACAATCTAAATGTATGAGTGTCATGTATGTATGTATGTATGTATATATATATATATATATATATCTCATAGAATATCTACAATTTCATAGAAAATCTATTTGATTAATAAAATAACGTAAGTAAATAGAGAAGAACCATTGTTATTTGTATGTGTAAGTGTATATACGTGTTGCGTGAGCACGAGATAAACGAATTTGTACAATTTATTATTTATTATGCGTGTTCTAAAAAATAGTCTTACAGCTATGCGGTGACATAGAACTGTTTTTCGTTTCTCTTCGTGTCTCGGGATAAACTAGGACGAAAAGTATAGCGGTTTTTTTTTCCCAGACTGTCTCAAGCGAACTCCCCACCAGATGAGACTCGAGACCGTTGGTTCCTCTCCCTTTCTTCCTTCCTTTCTCAAATCCCTTCTTCGCAAGATATTCCTGGTTTCTTCCATTTTCGCTTATTCTTATAAATAAACTGAGAACAAATATTGTTATAATATGCAATTATTCGAAGAAAAGAAACGTTAATCATGCCATGCGACTTGTTCTCTTTTTGTCTCTCTTACCTTTATTTAGCAATCTTTCTTTCTTTTTACCTTCAGTTAGCAATAGAGAGGAAGATTCTTCACGGAGAGAACCAACGGCAGCACGACGTCGATAAATTTCTTATTTGCATATCATCTAACGAATCATGAACTGCGAGGAGTTTCGGTTCAATGTTCGCTATATCTTATACGGCACAAAACGAAATTTGCGTTGCGCGAGGAAAGGGGCGGGTAGGAAAGGGCGAAGGGGACGAGGTGGGAAATGGATTAGGCGAGAATGTTCACACAACTATAATAAATAGCGGAGACCGGTGCGCACGCGCGTTACTATTTTTAATACACACTTAAATCTAATTTCAAGAAAGTTTCTGCTTTTTTTTTCGTTTGTCTACGTGTATTGTGTACTGGCACAAACCGCGTTCATCTTCCTCTTTTTCTTTTCGTCCGCGTCCTCCGCACCGAAGAGCACTGCACTAAATTAGTGTATTAATATTCCTTCTCCCGTGTACACTTCATTTCACTTCGATTTGAGGATTTATAGTTTTCTCACATAGAGTTCCCTCTTTGATCGCGGCTTACTTTCCCTCAGAGAACTTCTCCCTCAGACTTTTAATCTTGTGTACGAAGTAAGTCTCTAGGGATTCAGCGCACTTGAAAAACGGCGACTCCTTCGGATTGTAGTAGCGGCAATTGTCGAATATCTTGGTCATATCGCCAATGAATTCGCTCAGCTTCTTGTATGAGCGATCATTTATCCTCAATTCAATAGTCTGTAAATCTGCGAAATAATAAAATAATTTATTAACATTTTAGCAAATTTCTTGAAGAGAGTATCGCTATATATCAATTAGTGTCGATCTGCAACCTCACTTTAAGCTTTAAGTCTTAAACAACTGATCAACCACAGTCAATTATTTTCCTTACGTCTCAAGAATAATCGATTGTGATGGTCAGTTGCTTACGACTTAAAGCTTAAAGCAAGATTGTAGATCGTTTAACCCTTATCCACAATCTTGCTTTAATTATTAAACTGTAAGAAACTGACCAACCACAGTTGATTATCTTCAAAATAATCGACTGTGGTTGGTCAATTTATTACGGTTTAAAGATTAAAACAAAGTTGTGGGGTTAGGGGTTACATAAATATGCTAGAATCAACAATAGAATGTTTACTCATTTTCGCTCAATTATTATGTAAACTTTTAATATAGGAAAACATTGGGAAAAATAAGATGCGTCTTTTGGCTTAAAAGATCGATGTAGAATTTAAGATATCAGATCAATTATAGTTGTATATTTGTGATGCTTACCCATTGGTTCTTTTATCACCTTATAATAATCGGGTGCTTCATTGGGATCCACAGGTTCCATAAACGGCCATGCACTTTTATGAGCCTGGAACAGATCAGTTGTGCGTATTAAGTATCATAATTAAATCTTAAGTTAAATACTTAAAGTTGGATTTTTTAAGTTCCGTGTAACGTTTCAGCGAAAGCATTGGTATACCTGTATCTGTTTGATTAATTTCTTCAGTAGGTCCAGGTCTTTTGCGTTCAGGTTCTTCATGTTAGCGAAATTAACGGAAGAATTTCGTTGACAATTTGGACAGACGTACTCGTCAATATTGTCTGCTTCTGATTGAAGAATGCCGACGCAACGACCATGGAACCAGTCCTGGCATTTGTCGCAGCATATGTAAAATCTGTAAAGAGGAAAAACGTGACCGCAAAAACTTTAAACTATTAACGATTTTATTCATCCCTTGACTGAAAAAATTACATGTTTTCATTTTTCCAAATAATTATACTTTTTGACAAATTGATATATGTAATATTTTTTCTTAAATATCTAAATATTGATAAAAGAATCTTAGAGTATTAATTTCTTAAATCCATTTTCAGAAAAGTTAAAAAGTTTTATATAAACTTACGTTTTCATTGTTCTTTATATTTGTAATAAAATTAAATATTCAAGTGAATATTTGCAATTATTTCTGTACATAATTTTATTTTACAAACTTGAGAAAATATATTGGATATATAGGAAATATATAGGAAAAATATATGTAGATATTTGTTAGTATTTTTGCAGGATGTAAATAAACGCCAGGACTAAAACGACATCAGTATGCTAGATTAAAGTATCCAAAAGAAGTGTGCCATGTGTAAGTTAATAACTCAATCACTTACTGAGATTCGTCATAAGGCTGTTTACATAGACAATATAGTTCCTGTGTATCCCTCGCGTGTCTGCATTCTGTGCATACGAATTCTGATAGAGATTTACTCATTTCCTCTGTAATGCCCACGCAGTCACCGTGGAACCAGTTATTGCACAGGTCACAGCCCACGTAAAATCTTAAGAAAGATTTGAAAAAATTGAAAGATTCGAAAATCTTGAAAAGAGAGATCAAGAATAACGAAAATTATCAATTACAGTATACTACAATATAAAATGTATCGTTTTTACATAAAAAAGAACTTCTCAGAATTAAAAAGAGTCACCATTCTTTTTTTCAGCTCAATTAATTCGATTGTAAAATCTCGCTTTGTCTTACTTAGTCTCGTCGTAGGGGGTTCTGCACAAACAGTACAACTTTTCCTTCTTGATGCGAGTCGCAGCAGCTGAGGAACCTCCTGGTGGTGTCGCGCTGTTACTTTGCGCTTTGTTGTGTTTCTTCGGTCTGCTGCTGCCGCTGCTATTCCGATTAGACGACGGGCTCACTTGTTGCGCCACTTGGGCATTTGCCTTGCGTTTAGCACTACCAACCTTCACTTCGTCCTGCTTATGCCTCTCCGCCTTCGTCCTAGTGGCGAGCTCCGCAGACAGGTCCTTCTGCAACGATTATTAGAACAGAGTTATTTTCTATTCTAAAGAGTGAATCGTAGAAGAAAAACAGATACTTTTTTGTCTTTAAGCTATTGTTAAAAATAAAATGTGAAATTGTGTTTTACAAAGACAGAGATTGTTATTTTCAAGGAGGTTACAATTCCATAAAGAGCTAAATGTGTAAATATTATCTTATGTTAGCTTTACACACATACACACACACACACACACATGTATGTATGTATACTTATTAGTGTTACGTTACAACGCGTTAATTTGTAATCATGTTTACCTGTATGTCAATTTGAAGCTCTTTCTCAAGCAAGGCTCTTTTCTTCAGGATATCTTTTTTGAGAAGCTCTTTATGACGGAACAATAAAACTTGCATTCGTGAATGCACCTGTTGCTTTCTACGCTGCTCTTGGCTGTCCTTTTGTTTCGCGGATCGGTTTTTAGGTGAGGACTCGTTGTCCAATGTCTCTGCTAGCCTCGGCACTCTGAAAAGTTTTAATGACATTTTAAGTGTATCACATGTTTCAACTTGATCGTATTCAACAACATATATTATTAAAAAAAAATAACATTCATAAAAGTACTCATAAAAGTACTTATAAAATATTTAGTTATTCTTACATTATTAAAATGTGACAAATTTTTCAATATATAGATAATAATTTTATTTTTCTTTTAAGACAGAAAATATACATATTATCATTTTTTTTCATTTAATAGTCCAGAATAAGACAAGATAACATATAACATAAATGACTTTGAAATTAATAGAGTGTAAAGAGGATATCAATATTTTATAGACTATTAAGATGGAATCTTAAATTTCTAACTCGGGTAAATACAAAAATATATATAAAAAAAGGAGAAAACTCACCGATGATGACGGTTTCTGAAGTAATTATAGAAAAATTCACTTTTTGTATGAGGACATTCTTACACATTGTGTTGTGCAAATCTTTTTTCATTTGCCAAATATATTTGTAAATTAGATTTCTCATATTACATACACAATAAATATATTTCACACGACTTTCTATCTTACTTATTCACGTGGCAGAGACAGAAACCTAAATATTTCATTTGCAACTAACTGACAAATGTCCATCAAACAAGATGGATTATTTAGCATTAGATTATCGATAGACTGTTTTAGTAATTTATCAAGAAAGATAAGACAGAAAACTACCTATCTAATAAATATTAAATTTGCTTGATAATTAGAATATAAAAGATACAATTTTACCATCAGAAACTTCTTTATTCTCAATTGTTACTCGTAAAAGTTCCTATCAAAACAATCAATTGAAAAATCTTTGAACGTGGGTCCTATTCTATTAGAAGTTAAACGTGACTGTCTAATTCCACATTTCATATTTCTTTAAAAGAAATGAACGTCACGTAGTAAAGTCTCAAAATTAACATATTTAGTGTTCACTTGGTGCAGGACAGTCTGTGTAAGTTATATTACAGATAAAATAGCACAAATAAAACGCTTATGTGAGTGATAAAGACAGGCACAAATAACATGATGCTACAAATAACGGTTGCGCTTGGCATTTTCGCTGAAACAAATCATTACAATCCAATTTCAAAAAATGTTATCTGATAGATTCCAATTCATTGCTTAGTGAGTTTGATCATATCAACACGAAACTCCCAATTGTTAAGCAAATACAATCTTCTGTGTGCAGTCGTTTGTTACTCAGGTTGCCAATTCAAAGGAGGCCACTTAAGCGCTGATAAGACGGGATTAAACACGAGAAAAGAAGGAAGTTTTATTCCTGGTCTCTATATTTTCAAGTAAATTAGATTACACTTAACCAACACGTATCTTTCATGTATTAATCATTTTATTATTTTATCATTTTATTATTTTTTTTGTAGGGATTTTCTTAAATATCGCTGTAGTTCGGGATATTTTTTCAATACATTTAACGTCTAAATAGACGTTAGACACACAGTTTGACTGGAGATAGCAGTAATTAGATGGAATTTCAGCAAGTTTCATCGCTGAAACACAGACTCGAGAAAACAGTAGAATTACAGAGTAATATCTTTGGTTAATATAACTCAATCATAATATACAATATAAATATTTTATTCGAAAATTTAAACAATTTAAATTTTTTTTTGTATCATATAAAATTTGCCTAAATATTCAAAACTGAATAGTACGTGTAAGACGTACACCTAATGATTTCCTTGATTAAGTAGTAAAAACCACTTGCAGAGACAAAAATTCCTAGGGATATATCTTATATAAGGTTCAGCCTTATAACACATATATGGACATATATATGTCGTATGTGCATAATATATATATATATATATAAATACCTATATAAATGTTCATATTAAAATCAAATAATTTACAAGTGTTAAAATTCAGGACTGCGAAATATACAATAGAGGAGGCGGGAGAAATATCTACAAATTCGTGAACTGAGTAATTGAATAAAATCTACAAATGGGAATTAAGACTCTTGGTTTTTCACAGCAGCTATCATGATTGCAACATCAGAATTAAGAAAATGTACATTAAATATTCTTACAAAATACGTTGAAATAAAATATGTTTATAAATTGATATTTTTACAATCGATTGATCCGTAAAATTTACCCAAATACTTTTTTTTTATTCGAATAATCAATAAATAATCGTAAAATTAACATGACAAAATCATGACAGAAGTTAAAGAGGAATGTTGCATGACACATTAGTTTTACGGTTATTTATCGATTATCCGAACAAAAGAAAGTGTTGGGGCTATTTTACAAGTTTGCTTGATGATGGATTGCAAGTGTCATTTTATAGATACATTTTTATATTCCAACATATTTGCAAGAATTTCAGCATGTATTATTTTGCTTTTAATGTTATCGGTCAAAAGTTCTGCGGCGAGGAGCCAGAAGCCTAAAAATGTTGGGATCTATATTTCACGCTTTGCAAGTAGGAAAATGAAAAAAACAGAAAACGATAATAAATGAGATAAAGGTAATGGGAATAAGATGTTAGTGCGACATATCACTTTTCTTTGTCTCTTACTTTGGTGTCTCGCGATTTTCTTGCTTCTGCGCTGGTCTCTTTCTGGGTGGTGTCTCCACCCAGTCTTTGTCGTCTTTGTCATCGCCAGACGACTGCACGTTCGTCGGCGTTGTTGTTGCCGTCGCTGCCGATGGAATGTTTGAAGGCGCCGGTCGTTTACGCGATGGTGGACGCGGTGTCGTCGTGGCTGGTGAATTGTGAGTTTGATTACCAGTCACCGAATTTTCCACGCCGCTACCTTTCATCTGTTTCTCCTGATAGCGTTGCAGCTGTAACAGCTTTTCTTCTATCTCGGGATTGAGGTTTTCTTGCTTCAGTGCGTTTTTAATCGCTGAGAATAAGAAAAATGTATAAATGAGAATATGCTCAAATAAAAGTCAAGTTTCATTCTTTTTATGAGGAAAATCTTATGTGTAAAAAGAAAAATTTTATGTGCAAAATGAAAAATTTGATTGCATGAATTCGATCACATTTTTAACAAAAATCCTTTCTACACATGATAAAGCTCTAAAAATTGAGATAATCTTTTAAAAAGTAGCAACATATTAATGCCCATTGATTCGGAAGAATGATTTTTTTATAACATTTTGTCTACTGACTTTGTTGAATATAATCCGGCGTAAGTATGAATTTATTCGTCGACGAGTCATTTCCATCTTTCTGCGACTGTGATGATGGCTGCTGTCCATTGGCTATGCTCGCCTTTTGTGTCTCATCCTCAGTCGCGTTCATTACACGTCCTACTTGTTGAACGACTACTTTAGGTTTATCTGCTGATTTTGTCGTTACTGCCTGGGAAAGTTCTGGAATGGTTTCGGTAGATGCTCGCGATTCTAATCAGAAAGGAATATAAATAGATTAAATTTCTCATTTATATATCTATAATTTTGTCCGTATATAAAACTATACTCTTATAAAATCGCGCGCAAATATCAGTAATTCGTCAGTTAAATTTATCGTGTGTACTTTCACGAGAATATTTATTAAGACATTTATACATTATTTACTTATTTTATATGCGGAAAATTGAGCAAATTAATAAGGTAATTGTATATATATTTATATACACACACATACATATACGCGCGCGCACAGTTATATTTTCAGATAAAAAAAATATGAATGTGTATAAAATATTTGTCATCATTTAAAAAAAAAACCTAAGATATGTAGAATTGGAGAATTATGTACCAGTGACAGATGGCGAAGAAGCTACAGACTGTTGCTGCTGCTGTTTTGGACTTGACGTCGTGGTAGTATTTACCGTCGACGCAGTCTGGGGAGTCTGAGTTTGTTGTTGATTATTGGATGACTGAACTGGCTGAACGGCTAAGTAAATCTTTGTAGGGCCTAAGACGCCTTGTTTGCCGGTCGTCGCATGCGCTGAAACATATATAAATATGTGTAAACGTCAGATAGTAAAATATTTGGTTAAATAGAAGCAAATTTAATATTTTATTTGACACTTCATTACAAATCTCGAACTAGAATTTTTATTCATCCTAACCTTTGAGAAGTTGCTGCTTCACTTGTTGTTGAACCATAGCCAACTGTTGCGACGTAAATTCCGCACCCTGTAAACCTTGTAGAACAATTCGCGGACCCTCTGTCATCTGGATCTGAGCTGTCACGCATTTGATAACCGTACCGGGTGGCTGACCAGCCAGCAAGGATGCTTCCACGCTTCCCGGAGGTGGAGATGCGGTAGAACTAGTTGTTGTCGCTGACGAAGTGGTGGAAGTTGCGGTGGTCGTCGTCACACTCGCGTTCGTGCTTACCGCTGATTGAGCCACCGTTGAAGCTTGTGTAGTTTGCAAAACTACAAATATAGTTCACTTGTTATTATCAGTCGTTCATATCAGTATATGTATCAGTAATATATTCTTTTTGCACAAATATATAACTTTTTTATTTCTTGGGCAAATATCTAAAAGAATGTACAATTGTATAGAGCATAGCTAAACATATGTTTATAAGTATGCATGAGTATGTACATATTTCTGATAATGCATATACTTCTGAAACAACTGTTATATTAATTTACTGCAACAATTCTACTAAAATATCTGAATTTATATATATCAAAGATATTGAATCTTAAGGATCTTAGAACTTAAGGACTCGCTGCGGCTAAATGTTGGATTGTGACATCAGAAGTAAGAAATAGCATACTGAAAATTCTTGTGTGTATTTTTAAATAAAAAGATATTTGTATGAAAGAACACAGATTGCTTGAGCATACTTGTAAAATGTTTCGAAAACTATCCTTTTTCCTTGATTGTCAATAAACAAACGTAAAATAAATGTGGTAAAGACATGGGGAAAAGTAAATTGAAGGGATTGTATATTTGCGCTTCTTAATTTTACGATTATCTATTGACTGTAAGGAAAAAGGATAATTTTCGGAACATTTTACAAATATGCTTGAATGATCATGAATATTTTTTCATACAAGTATCCATTTATTTTAAAATAGCACACAAGAATTTTCAGCATGTCATTTCTCGCTTCTGACGTCATCAATTCAAAGTTCCGCGACTCAGGACCAGGATATTCAATATATTGCTAGTATATTTATATAATCCTTCTAACTATAATATTCAATACTTTATCCAATGATTTACAAAACATATCTATTCAGTCTTTATAAATCGAACAATTAACTATATTATACTTAGCTGATAGCAATCAATTTTTCCTTAAGAAAGATCTAAATGACTGACCTTGCTGCTGTTTGGGCGTTCCAACGGTTCCTTTCACAATTATACCGCTATTCGTCGAGTTGAGATGAACGATCTGATTTCCCGTAGGCGTGCCACGTATCACGACCTGGTGACCGCCGATCGTTGTCAACTGAGCCTTACCAGATGCCAATTGTTGTGCCAAATTCGAATTCGTGACGACTATTTGGTTGCCACTTATCACTTGCCCTCCCGTGGATATCATCTATAGCACATAATTAAGTTAATAGCACATAATTAGTTAAGAAGTAGAGTATACAGGTGTATATATAAAAATAAATACAATTTTCCTTTAAAATCAAAAACACTCATTACCTGTGCAGTTTGTCCGGTATTGGCGACCACAATGGCGTTTTTCGTTGCTTGATTAGTCGGCGTGGTAGGTGTCAATGTCACAGCCGTGCCTTTAACACGTTGAACAGTCTGCATAACTTGTACCTGCTGCGGCGTTTGTGCTTGTTGCGTTGAGGACGTTGTCACTTTAACCGGACTGGCTTTAATCGTGGAGGCATTATCTGAAGTTACTACTTTGGTCGTATTACTAACTGCAGTCACAGTCTTGGCCTGAAAAATATTAATGTCAGTTATATTGATTCAAGTCAATATTCGTTTTATATTTCGTTTGTATATACATATACTTATATTTAATGTGTATTGTTAAATGTCTGTAATGTGTGTGTGTTTGTTGTATTAAAAAGAAAAATAAAAAAATTTTAAACTACCATAAATTTTGTATAATAAAGATACATCAATTCTCGTTCCACCTATGAAGGACGTTTAAATGTATTACCTGCAAAGTTGTTGTAGGTGTCGTCGAATTCGTCGTGATGCATTGCGTGAGATGCGTGCCAGCATGGCTCACATTCAATACATGCAGCTTTCCATCCGGCATCTGAACCAATTGTTGGCTGGGTAGCAAGCCGCGCACTTGTAGCTTTCCATCGGGTCCTCTCAGAATCTGTACTCTTTGCTGCACTTGTACCGGTGGATTACCTGGCAATTTGACATCCATATTACGTGCCAGGTAGTACAATAATAGTAAAAAGATTCTACAATGTGTTATACGAAATCTGTGAGAAACTTAAGGATTTAAAAACTTAAATACGGTACTCTATAGCATTGATATGTTGTTAAGGTATAATATACTTTCGAAAAAAAAAAACGTTTGAGTAAACTTACCTGTTGGCGAGACTCTGATCAGAGACTGCAACTGGTTCGTCGCTGGACTCTGTGACGTTTTCGGCAAAATACTGGTGGGACCAGATACTACCTTGGTTGTGCCGTCGGCCGCTGAAATGAAGAGAAAAACGAATTTATATAAAATTGATATCACGTATTACATTTAAGGACAAGGACATAAATAATTTCATATTTACATTTCGTCATATAAATTCGCCGTGTCCCGAGGATTTTGTTCTGCGTAGGAGTGGTCAGGAGGGAAGTCAACTGCGACTTTGTCCCGCTGTTTGGATTAGCGGGAATCGCAACTTTTGAAACCAACTTAACCGTGCCGTCTACAATACAAAAGAAGAGGATAAAATTTGATAAATTGAATATTTACGTGAAATGAGAAATATATTGATTACAATTATCTGTGTTTACTTTACTTGTCGCAAATCATCAGCGATAACAGTCGTCAAAGCTTACCATGTGAAGAATTCGTCGTGACTTTGACCAGCTGAGTGGTCGATGTGGAGTTTGTGGGGCTTTTAAGGGTTTCTAGAGCTCGTTTCTGCTGATGGGCTGCCCGTTGCATGCGCAACTGCTGCTCCATTTTCTCCTTGATTTCCTCTGGCGTAGCTTTACCACTTACAAGTTGATCTCCAGTTGTATTTGAGACGGTCGTCGTTCTGTTACCACTTACAACTACCGGCTGAGGCACTCCCGAGCGACTCCTAGTAATAATCTGGGCATTAGCCTTCTCTAACCTGGAGACAGGACACACACCAAAGCAGTGGGTTAGTTTGGCTGGTGAAAAAGAGACGAGGATAAAACGATAGAAAGAGAGAGACAACAGATAGAGCAAGCAGAAATGTTAAGTCATTTGCAGCGCTAGATTCGCGCGAAGGCATCATCATTGTTGTCTTCGTGTGAATCTGGCAAGCGTAAATAGAAAGACAGGCGCCGCATGCAGCGACGTAATTCTTGGGATGTAAAATTCGAAAGTAGAAGCAAGATTTATATTCTCAATTCTTTTTTTCTCTTTATATTCGTTCAAATTCGTTAAAAAACTTGAAACATGTATAAAAGATACTATACTGTATTATATATTGATATAATTAATATATTATCGTTGCACTATATTAAAACATATTAAAAAGAGAAAAATTATACTATCGAAAAAAGATGGAAAATATGATGCAAAATATTTATTGCCAAATCGTTCCTATATTTTTCTTCTCTTTATATTCGTTCAAATTCGTTAAAAAACTTGAAACATGTATAAAAGATACTATACTGTATTATATATTGATATAATTAATATATTATCGTTGCACTATATTAAAACATATTAAAAAGAGAAAAATTATACTATCGAAAAAAGATGGAAAATATGATGCAAAATATTTATTGCCAAATCGTTCCTATATTTTTCTTCTCTTTATATTCGTTCAAATTCGTTAAAAAACTTGAAACATGTATAAAAGATACTATACTGTATTATATATTGATATAATTAATATATTATCGTTGCACTATATTAAAACATATTAAAAAGAGAAAAATTATACTATCGAAAAAAGATGGAAAATATGATGCAAAATATTTATTGCCAAATCGTTCCTATATTTTTCTTCTCTTTATATTCGTTCAAATTCGTTAAAAAACTTGAAACATGTATAAAAGATACTATACTGTATTATATATTGATATAATTAATATATTATCGTTGCACTATATTAAAACATATTAAAAAGAGAAAAATTATACTATCGAAAAAAGATGGAAAATATGATGCAAAATATTTATTGCCAAATCGTTCCTATATTTTTTAGAACTCATGAATAATTCCACACTTGTTAATTAAGACTCGAATTGGATCTTGTAAAAGTCGATGGTGTAGAACATCAATACACATCGCACAAAATGAAAAAGGATGTTTGGAAACACGATTTCACAGAAGTTGACAACGCAAGAACAACATGCATTTCGAATCAACAAACGTTTACACGAAATGTCAAAAACTTTGTTTTCAACATGTATACCTGTCTCCGTACTGCTTGATTTCCCAGAGATCTAACTTGTCCTCATCGACCCATTCTACAGTGACTTGCGGCTCAGTGCTTTGTGGCGATTCCGGACGCTTTCGTTTCCTGAGACCGCTCCGTATGGACGTTACTTCTGTAAAGTTATACGAATATGGTATTTAAGCATTTATTTCATATATTTCATACAATTACCATAAAGTTTATTATATAACATAACACTCACAATTATATTAATATTATTAAAGATAAATTACCTCGAACTTGCTTCGGTAGTTCAAGCGGTATAACGACTTTGCGACGCATGTACTGCGTACGGTCGAGGAATTGTCCAACCTGACGATGTTCAAGTATTTCAAGGGTCACGAGTTCCGTGTCGGTGGTGACTTGACTTTTGCCGTCGGTGGAGAGCGGCTTGGCGGCCATGTCGTCCCATCTCAAGCATGCCCAGAGTACGCGCAATTGAATCGCAGCGGCGGCCAATGATTTGAGACCGACCGTGCGGTACAGCCAGCATGTCTTGAAAAGCGGCCTCGGGCAAGGATATGGCCACACCGATAGATTAGCCTTGGCCTGATGATGGAAACCCTGCACTGGTGCACGACCGCCCAATCGCGATAGTTTCCTGAGTTCGTGCTGCGGCAAGAGCAATATGCTGCGATGCTTGTTCTTCGTACAGAAAGTGGAGCACAATGGATACTTGACTGGCGTCCGTTTCTTCTTCCGATCGGAGATCGCCATCTTTTTTAGATAGACCTTGCCCTGCGTCGACGTCGCCGTGTAGATCTTCTCGCTGCCATCCGCGTTCAACTCTTTGCGATACGCGCACCGTTGCACAGTCCTGCCCCGACGATTCACTATCACTTTCTTCTTCAGGCCGTTGCTGTTCGTCGTATTGCTGATCGTGTTGATCTCCGTGGACGAGACCGTGACGGAATTGTGAGTTGTAGAGCGCTCTTGCACAGCGCCGTTCGCATTTCTCATCGATGTCGTGGTGGTGGTGGTGGTAGTGGTGACCGATATATTGCTTGTTGTGGTCGTCGTTGTGGTCGTCACATCGACCACCATGTTTTCTGTCTCTGTATCCAGCTTGAGCTTCTTCATGGGCGGACTAGTAATGACCTTTAGCTTTTTCTCGTTCATCGCTATGTCCTCGTTGTAGTGAGTAGCCAGCGTAGTCATTGATTCTGAATCACGTTTGATCGCGTCTTTCGATTCCTCGACGGATTCCGTCTTCGCAGTGTTCTGCGACGTGTTAACAGGAGACAACAGCTGATTGTTGTTTAGAGCATTAGCTTTGCGTAACATCGAAATTAGGTCGTTCTTGAGTTGCGCTCTCTGCATACACAGAGGCGAGTAGCAATTGCACGAGAGATTCTTCGTGCTCGTCAGCGCAGTGTTGTTTTTCGTCGCGCCTGTTGCCGACGATGTCATGTTGCAATAGCGAGAATAACAACCAATGTTCTTGCAGAGTTTCATAACGTTCGCGTATTGAGCGCGCAACTGCTGAATATGCTTGCCGATTGTTGAGATCATATCCTTAGTGGACACGGAGATGATTTTGGGCGTCCCCTTGTCTGTTAAGCCGTCTCCGCTACCGCTGATCGAGTTTTCAACGTGATTCTCTATATCGACCTCGGTGTCACCATCTCCACCTCCTTTCTGATTCGCCGTTTGATTCGGGTTTTCTTTGGATTTTTCCTGTGACAAGAGATTTTGATAAAACTTTGTGCAACAAAAATATCTAAGGAATTAAAAAAAAAACAGTTTTTAACATGAATAAATTTTGAGAAATTAAAGTCAAAAATTCATGTTTTATATATGATTACGTTTATATATTTATGCAATATTGTATGAAGAATAAATTTTCAGTTTTGACTTTCCCAGTTTTATCTAAAAAAATAGGTATAAATAAAATTTACATCATAAATATATAAATATACTTACAGACTGTAACAATTTCCTTTCCTCCAAAGTTTTTAAATGTGTTCTACGCGCCAGGAAATCGTCGATCCTCGTTTTCTTTGCAATTTTTGGATAATACAATCTTCCTGGGGTAGTTAGCGCCTTGGTAATGTCGAGTTCGTCGAATTCAGTAATCGGAGTAAAAACTTTCTCAATTTTCATACCAGCTAGAACTGAAAATGAGAAAGATTTCTTTATAATCAAATAACAAATTTCATAAAGTTGAATAATGATCTCTCGAATAAGAAAAATTTTATCGGTATATTCGTCAAGTGATATTCGTCAGTTAAGTGAGTATTAGAGAGGTGTAATAAAATCGAAAGATACATACACGAAAGATTCAGTTTTGTCTCTTGCTTTATTGACTGGGGTTCCGTTTTCACCGACGACGAAGAGGTGGAAGAAGAACTCGCTTCGTCGCCGTCGATCGTAGGCTCTTTTTTCACATTGTCCACTTTGAACTCTCGCTTAACTGCATTATCCGCGTCACCATTCTCCATCTTCTCGTCCTTCACGATCTCTTGTTTCATGACACTGTTCTCCGTTTTGGGCGGACTATGTTCCTGCATCAGGAACTCGTGCGTGGACGGATCAAGCGCGAGGATCTTGACACCGACTTGATCACGTATCTGCACCATAATCTTCTGCGGCCCGACGCGCAGGCCATGCTTCGCCATTTCAGAATAGCGATAACGACGACTAGCCGAAACCCAGAGCCAACCACCTTGACCGTGCACCCGATATTCCTCGCCCTTCTGCTTCCACACCTGATGTTTAAGGCCAAGAGTATACTTGACGAAGTTGAACAGCCGATTACGCTCTTCCTCGTCCTCTTTTTCTTTCTTTTCTTTCTTGTCCTGTCGCTTCTTCTCTTCACGCTCAGTCGCGGTCACGCGTTGCAGCTTTACATGACCGAGTTGATCGTGCCACACGCTGGCGAACACCACAGACTTGATGCACGCTTGCAGCACGATGAGAGCACGCGCGAAGTCACGCGGGTTCACGCACGCACCGACTGCCGCGGTCCACGGTTTCCGCAGCAGCGGCCAATTAGTGTGCATGAACGGCGCTTGGATGTTGCTCTCCAGCTGCAGTATCGTCTGGCGCAAGGTGCTGACCAACAAAGCGCGAGTGCCAGTCAAACTTCCCACCCACTTGAACTCGGACGCTTGTGTGAGCGAGAACTTGTGTGAGAGATGACGCTTCTTATCGCGCTCCTCGTTCCGCTGCATCTTGTTGAGCGCAATCGGATTCGTGCTGTATTGATTCACGTAGGACTTGAAGTTATTGTCCATGCCTAACTTGAACAGATGTGTGCCGGACGCGATTTGATGGGCTTTCTGTCGTGTTACCCTCGTAGTACCATCGGCCTCAGTGTCCTTCGCGCTCTTATCCAGCTTCTCAAGCTCCTCCTTGGACAATGGCGCTGTGCTGCGTCGCTTGAGATCGTCCATGTTGAAAGTGCGCGGCTGCAGTGAGCCTGTTTTCGATCTCGTCACGATGGTGTGCTTTTTGCCTAAAAAATGCAGAGACACACTTGATCCATGAACAAAAAATTAATTTGTACAAAGTTAAATTTAATACAAAACTGCATGAAAGAGGGAGAGAGAGAGAGACCATTTAAATTTCTTCGCGGTGTGTAATATAATTACTGTAACTGCAAACAGACTTTTCGTTTCGGATTATCATAAACTTCTTTAAGATCTGATTATATACATTTCATGACTCACCATCCTTCCCGATTTTTGTGATGCCTTCCTCACCTTCCAACATTTCTTCGTCGACATCTTCGGACGATGATGTAGAAGCGCTATTCTTCACGGCCTTCTCCGTGCTTGTCGCGGTCACCGATGATGACGTGTCCGCGTCGATCTCGACAGTTTCACTGATCACATCAGGTACTTGCATAGCTGCAGCCGATTCGTCAATCGCTATCGACGTCTTAGAGTCTTTCTGTTGCTCCGTTGCTGCTGCCAGGCGATCTTCCAGAGAATCGTTATCTTCCTGCATTCGGCGCATCATTTCTTCGGTCTCTTGTCTCTGTTTCTCTTTCTCTTCTTGTTCTTTTTCATGTCGTTCTTTCTGAATCTTCTGTATGTTACCTGAAAATGGAAAATTTTGTTAGAACGATTGCTTTTAAAATAGAAACACAAAACGATGTTGATTAAGATTCGTTATTGTGTTAGAAGTACGAAGGAAAATAGCTGTGTGTGATCAAGGAAAATTGCTCTTACCATTTTCCACTTCTAGATAAGACTTTTTGTTTCCCTTATATTGATTCGTGATAGTCTCCGTGAGCTCCATTTGACGAACAATTTCGTCTTTATAATCCGATAATTCGCGATAGAGCGCGACTTCCATCTCATTCTGATCTAACGTAAGCATTAATTCTTCCAGTTGTAACGACGTACTGTAATACCACACTTCGCCGTCTTCGCTCTCGCTGGAAGATAAGTTCACGATAAGTTCACAAACAGAATGTATGATCGTGTGAGTAAAAGTACTACTAAATTGGGGAAGCATAGTAATTTTATAAAAGGTGAGCTCTTAAACTATGCAGAATTCTAAAACGCTGAGATGTAACTTACACGAAAATTCTCCTCGCGAGAAACCAATACTTTCTGCCGTGTCTGTCGAATCCCAAATGTTCTTGCCTGCACAATGATCCGTTCTTCTCGACATCGGGAATACAATCTACGACGCCTGTTACTTTATGTGCCTTGCACGTGCTACATTGCCAGTCCTCAGTGGGCACATCTACCAACGGTGGTTCCACGCAATCCAAGTGAAATACAGCCGGACAGGTTTCGCAACACAACAAATCACCCAAACGGTGACATACTCTACAGTGATCGTCATAATGCATGCTCCCTGCAATACAAATTGTTACTCTCTTTACTTTACTCTGTTGCAACACACATTTCGCGTATCTCTGGTCGTTTGTGTGACTAAACGTGTATCTACAAATTTTTCTGCAACTCTGATATTAACTTAAAACGTTTATAATGATGAAACTTATTTATAAGTAATTTCATAATCATAGTCTAAATTCAAATAAAACATCAGCACAGACACAAAGAGCTCTCTCTCCATGCTGATGCAATTGTGCCTCAAAGAAGCACAATCCAAAGAATAAAATCATATTTATCATGCAACCATTCTACTGTCATAATCTATTAAGTACTATCATATGCCATAATTTACTATCTACTATTATAATATCTGCACAGAAAAATACATACTGCATTCAAGTAAATGTTACTTGTTTTAAATATTTCATGTTTGTATATCCATAAATCTATAGATTATTGTAAATAAGATTATTGTAAATATTAAATTTATTCAAAATACATTCTGAATGCCAGTAAGTTTAGCATTCCAATTAAGAGTGTTGAATTGAAACAAAAGTTTGGTTTGCTTACTACACAGAGTCAACATGTTTTTGATAGTCTTACAATATTCTTGCAAAGAGAATAAATATTTCTTCTGAATATATGATAGTGAGTTTTTTTTTAATTTGAAGAGTATATTTTAAGATGTCATTATCAGGGAAATATTTTTTATTCTGAAAATAGTCATTGCTCAAAAGAAGGAAAGTGAGTTGAGCAATTGCTGTTCTTAGCAGTAGAGAATGATCTTCTTCTCCTATATAGGTGTGCACCTATCACGCTGTCATACCTTCATGCAACAGATCCTCTCTCACTGGATTGGTGATTAAGAATTGGTCTGTCATGAACTGCAGAACCTTGATTCTATCTTCAATGGCCGTGAACGGGTACTCAGTAGTGGTGAGTATCTGCAGGATGTTCTGATCAAAACTCCTGTCACTCTCCACGTATGAGCGCAACACCTCTGGCCAGCTCATGGAATCGACAAAGTACAAGCTGACATTCACAGAGTCCTTCTGGTCCAGTGGGCCAAAGTGGGTCTGCTGCGAATCCTCTTCCCTCAGCAGCGCCTTGATCAACATGATGTGAATCTCAGCGAGCAAATTGGTCTGATCATCACACATGAGAGCTGCACAGAAATCCTCAAAGCGAAAGGAGGAGAGCCGCACTAGAGTGCGGAAGTGCCGAAGCACCTCGTAGATGGACAGTGACGGCATCACCAGCTCCTTGGGCAGTAGCAGGTCGTCGGAGGATTTGGGCAAGAGTAACGGCGGCAGATCACGATGCTGCAGCCACAGTGGCTCCGGGCTCGGTGGCCTCTGTTGGATGAACGGACCCTTGCGAGGAGTACCACTGGTGGTGCTGTAGCTGGACAATGAGAAGTCGCTGTCGCTGGAGGGATCTGGTTCTTCTACGCTTTCGGATGAGTCGACGTCACTGTGCAGCACGTCCTCGTCCGGCTCGCTCTTGTCGCTCGATTCGTCACCGAAGTCCGACCCGTAATGATACTCCGAGTCGCCATAGTCCACATTGGGGTTATAACCGCGACGCTGATACGCACCACCGCCGCCCGCCGCGGAGCCGCTGTGGCCGCCCTTGCGAGAATGCCGGTCGCGTTGGCCGCGCGACTTACGCGTTCGCGTGCTGCGCTTGTTACTCTCCTCACTCTCCACTGACGGCGAGGTCGGTCTCGACGCCGTGGGCGTGCTCGGTTGCGAGCCCGGTGTCTCAGCACCGCTCACTGTTCGGTTCTGCAGGTACTTGGGCTTCTTCAACAGGTGAAACTGAAACTTCTTCGGTCGTTCCATCACTACGGACTTGGGCGGCCGCCCCCGTCTTTTCGAGCCTCTCCCCGTCATTGTTGTCGTCCGTTGTAGTCGACGTCGTCTCCGTGGTCGTGTTCGCCGCCGATGGGCCCGTCGCCAACCTCGTTTCGCGCACCCTCGGGCCTCGTGGGGCCCCCGTGTGTCACAAACACAAACACACACTCTCTCTTTCTCTCTCTCTCCCGGGGGCCTACCTGCCGATCTTGCACGCGTCTCCTCCTCTCCTCTCTTTGCCTATTTCCTCGTTCGTTCTACTTTACCCTACTCTCTCCTCTCCTGTCCTCTCCGCACCTCTCCTTGCCACCACCTCACTGTTCAGCACGTGGCGCGCGTGCTCGCGCGCTTGTAAACAAACACAAGTGACATCGCCGCGGCAACGAAATGGATCCCATGTTCGTACTCCGATCTTTGCGCCATTTCTCGGCCCACGGTTCCCAGGTCACGTGACCAAACACAATCGGCCGCGACGCGGACCGGGATTTCGCGTACGTGTGTGGGTACGTACGCGGCACACCTCCACTCGGTGACCGTTGTTCGTATCGTCGCGGTGGCTCACCTTCGTGTATCAATCTCTCGGGCGTAGTGTGCGCGAAAAAAACCACCCGTAAAGTTCGATGGCAAGTGAGTGACGACGCGGCGGAAGCGTCTCTGGCCGCACGATGGCGACGTAGTCGTCGTTGTCGTTGGTGGTAGCCTGTGAGAGCGACGCTGTGATTGGCTCATCTGCGCGCCGCCATGTCGGCCACCCGCCAGCCAGCTATGCGATGAAGGGCGACTCGTAAGCCACCCAGAAGCCGAGATCCCAGTTTGGACACAATGGATGATCGTTTGATGCGAAGTCACGCGTTTGTACAGTGGCGGAGGCCGCAGACCGCAGCTTGTATACGCGTGTAAACACTCCAACGCCTGTCTTCACCGTTGACTCGCACGAGCTCCAATCGGTTTCACTGTAACTGAGCTCTCGGGCGCCGTCGTCTCTGTCAGATCGACGCGACGACAGATGGCGTGTCTGTGCGAACAAAAAACGCAATTCTAACCACACTTTTCGAGCGAGAGCTCCCGCACTCGATATGTGACGCCCGAATATCGGCGGATATTCGACAACGCGTAACCCTCGATGTGGGATAAGTTCACAGTCTCCGCTGTGTTGCGTCCGAACGACCTCACGCACACGACACACAATTTATGCCTCGTCGCGCCTCGGCTACTTTCGTGTGAACTCGTAGCGCGCTACAATACGTCGAACGGACGGTGTGGTATCCGCGAAGCACGGCTCTCAACCCCGACTTACCCGCGAATCACGGACGCGAGACGCTTGATCTTGGTGCGCACGCGCCGCGTCAGAGGCCGCCACCGCGGCGCCGGCCAGCTCTCGCGCGCCGCCATGTCGCATGCGAACAGCATGGCCGCCAGACGAACCGGCGGTTGACACGCTAGTGCGCGAGCGGGAGGGGAGTGCGGTTAACACCACGAGCGACGAGGACGCGGTGCGGATTTCTCGATTTCCCGAACCCGAGGCACGACGAATGTGCTCGCATCTTCGAACGAACAATCGTGCTGACGAAGACGACAACATCAACGAAATAATAATGTACATACTACGGCCGATAGTAACCTCTACGGATGCGCATCCGCGCGTGCGATGTATGTACGAGATGCGAAATATTCAAGGGAATAAGGTGTCGCAACTTCAATGTGACGATATGACCGAAACGACCGCAACAACAACGACGGCGACGACGACGACGACGACGACGACGGCGGCGACGACAACGGCGGAGTTGATAGCGATAACAACGAGAGTGACGCCGCCGTGCGATGGTACCAAGATGCCCGATGTCACAGAGCAGGTTATCCGCCTTCTGCAGGTTTCCGTACTCGTTTCTGCGTACGTGGCAATCGACACGCACGCCCGACGACACACCGCTCGTACGCGCGTACAGCCGCGTGTACGACTCGCGAACTCGCGGACGATCCGGACGCGGACGTGAACGCGCGGCTGGCGGCTACGATCGTGATGCGAGCCATGACTCCTCCCGAAAATTTCCGCGAGCGCACTGATCCGTGATCGACCAGGCGGAGGAGTGTGCGGTTCCTCTCTCCTCTCTCTCTCTCTCTGTCTCTCACACACACTCTGCCGCTATCGTCTGTCGGGGCTTCTTGATCGATGTTCCTCCTATCCTGTCCCCCTCCCCGCGAGATTTTTTCCCATGTAAGTGTACACGAAAATCGGCGCACGAGGGGAAAAAGAGCGGGGTCGATTAATTGGAAGCGGTCACGAGCGGTATGTCGCGAGGCGAGAAGTGTGCGCTTAACCGCCGCACGAAAAACGGCGATTCCGGCGATCTCGGTGTAACGTAAACTGTCAAAGGAGCGATTTCACGAACGAAGTCCGGATTAAGTGCACCGTCGTACTCGTGCTGTCGTTAACCTCAGTTATGATGAATTCGAGCGACGCTTCCGTACGTTGCGATATGACTTTCGAAGGCGATTTCACAGTTTGTATTATTTGCACACATGAAATCACGCGATTATCGTGCGGTAAATATCAGACACATCGAGTGTTTTGTACTGTAATTGGTATTGTTCCCTGCAGAACACATCACCGGACTACAATATATTGGCGACCAGGCAAGAGGAAATACTCAAGCAGCTGGCAGAGCTCAAAGCGCAGATCTTTAAATTGTGCAAATTCTTGAAGCGGTCTAGTCAAGAAACTATAAAAAGCAAGATGTTGAGCGAAATATACCAAAATGTAGCTGCGGGAGATTGCGTATCTGAGGTATTGTACTTTCACCTTTGAACAGTGTCATTCAGTGTTTCAAGTATGTTTTACATCTTGTACTCCTATATTTCTCATATCCTACTTATATATCATATATCTTCTTAATGTAATCATTGTAAAGCATACATTCTACCAAATACTTTGTATCAAAAATTGATAAACTGTATGCAAATATTTCTCCAGTAAATGTTTTGCTGGAGGAAAGATTACTTCTACTGTTAAGTCTTGACTACATCATTACATTCATCATATTGACTATCAGATAGTTAAAGCATACATGACATTTTTATCCTTATAATGGAATATGTATAATTTTATAGGTACCAGTTGAAGTTAATCTAGTATTAAACATAAACCCATGGAAGCCACCATACTCTGTATATGCATTACAAAAGATTTGGAAGGACACTAACATCCTTGTGAAATCGTACACTCATTCTAGTATTGTTGGACGAGTACCTATCGATTTCTCCAGCAGTATTCATTCTGATGCAAACAATGTTGTGAATTTGACTGTAATATTTAAAGCAGGTAAGCCAAAACTATATATTGTCAAAGAAAATTCTATTATATGTATTGTATATACATATATATTATATGTATATATGTGTTATATGTGTTATATGTATATATATATATATATATATATATATATATATATATATATGTGTATATATATATATATATATATATATATATATATATATATAT